GTGTGTGTGTGTGTGTGTGTGTGTGTGTGTGTGTGTGTGTGTGTGTGTGTGTGTGTGTGTATGTGTGTGTGTGTGTGTGTGTAAATAAATCTAGGTATATAGAAAAATAATGTATTCTGAGTGTTTATACAAACACTTATATACCTGATCTACAAAACTTACACAACATTTTCCCAGAAAAAAAAAGTTTGGGTATTTAAACAAGCATGCTACATGTCAAAAAAATCTATAAGCAATTAGTGTCAAGCCCTTCAGAGATATTAGTTCACGCATATTTTCCCATTTTCTGTTACAAAGAAAACGGAAAGCTCTAGCATTTTTCTGCCAGTAAAAGTTAAAATGAGAAGCACATCAGCATTATGTACTTTTCATAAAATTATTGGGGAGATCTGCGGCAGTGAGGTATTCCTTGACCTAATCCGTGGTGCAAATCAAATTATAAAAAGCTTTAGCCAGGTACAACCATTCATGCAAAGAAAGTGCAATCATCTACAAAAAAATAATAATAATACAATTTTTTGGTTGGGAGACTAAAATTTTGGTTGTGAAATTTGTACACCACAAAGGAAAATAATCCTCATGGCTAATATTTCCATTTCCATTCTTTCTTTTTTCAAATCATTTTTGGTTAGTTATTAGCAATGGGTGGTAAATAATGGGCCAATTTTTCAATTAATCAAGGAATAAGTATATCAGCATTTTTGATAACACTAAATCCCAAGAGCAGCCAATAGGGTTAATAGGCCAAGAAATATGATTTGAACAGAAATGTTGAACCTATTACAGGATTTCAAAGTTTGTTGACTTCCAATCAACACAACAATGAAATAGCAATGTAAGAAAAAAAAAAAACTTTATCAAAATCCACACAAAGGATCAATACTGCTGATCATCACAGCTTTGTCTCCCGGATAATTTCAGAAAAGTGGATGGGTTGTTACCCTCGGTAGTTCCACCAACACCACCACCACCAACACCACCACCACCAGTCCCCGGCACGTTCAAGAAGCGTCCAAATTTGGGTGGTTCACCCAGAGATGTAGGCGTGGGCGCGGGGGGCGGAGCTTGGGGGGAAGCCCCGCCCTCCTCCACTGTCAGGGAAAATGGATGGTCAGAAGAACAGAAAATGGAGGAAAGAACTGGTAAAAAAGGTGAAAAAAGAAAGAAAGATCAAAGAAAAGAAGAAATGAGAGAATGCTAATCATATGAGTATAATTACTGACAGCAGATGAGAGGAAAAAAAAAAAAAAGATTGGTGTTGGAAGATATTGTAGATGACAATGAATAAAAAGTGTTGTGGTTATAATGACTCCTATACTTGTTTCCTAACAATGTCTTTAGTAAGTAATGCAAGAGCATGAATGGAGAAGAAACCAATTATCAAAAGAAAAGTGAAATCTTAATGTATTCTAAAGACCATTAATGAAAGAGAAAAGAAAGAAAAAAGTGGTCAGGAATAGCTTTATAGTAGCCTCAGCAAAAAAAAGGAGAGAACATAAAAAAGACTCATATTACTGTAACAGCATAAAAGCAATGCCATAAAGCTTTTCTTATTGTGTTGTTAAAGATTGCAAGTACCCAAATCTTGTTAGACAGTGATTGGGGTTTTAAGTAATAAATTATCATCAAGCAGCTTTGCTTTTGGTCAAGTTAATCCAGCAACCAATTTGATAACATAGCTCCACTTCTAATAACCTATGAAAATCAGAATTGCTAGACTATAAATTTCAAAGATATAATGTTATATGAAAAAGCCTTTGATTTTCTCTTTCCTTTTTTGATAGATAACTTTAAAAAAACTAAAATGAAATGAACCAATACATTCCAGTATCTAACAATAAAAATAAAATACATTTGTAATTGGATCAAAGATAAAAGATATAAATGTAAATCTAACAATATAACAACATCAAACTCCATGAGAAAAGAGAGAATAAAAAAAGAAAAGAAGACTTAAAAGCACCTACATACATATGGGCACATTTCACATAAATATGCACCTATTGTACCATAACCAAGTAAGGAGCTAGACATTGTAATAGTAATATATGCATGCACTGGATTAGATATAAGACAATGTATAATGGTACTAATACCTGTAAAAAGGACAATGGAAACTACATAATCCATTTCTCCCATCACAAAGAATGTTACAATTACATGTAGTTATAATAAAATATGGATCATAGCAGATCAAAGAGATAAAAAAGAATGATGTCTGTGAAGAATTTAAGAAATACTGCTAAAGAGGAATATTATATCCTAACACACATGATATCAGACATGAAATTAAGCAAGTAAAACCTGCATGTGAATTCCAGACAAGAAAGACATTAGTTGTAAACATTTACTATAACTAGTGTAAAGATAAATGATCTGACTGCATGTTCTAAAATGGACAAAGGAGAAGTGAAACATTAATAGCAGTCTCTCTTTAAGTAAAAGACATAGTCAAATGAGAAGATACACATGTTATATAATTGTATTAAATAGATATGGTGCTGAGTGAACAAAAGATATATGCAGTGAAGATAGCATAAAATGAGATGTTCAAGAAGCATAGCACACAACTATGTCAATGACTTAATAGCATAATATATTTCTTAAATTGAAAATTTGAAGAAAATGAAAAATATATTCTAATAAGGAATATATCTATCAAACAATTCTAGACAAGTATATATCTATCAAACAACCAAACTCCTTATAAGGAATATATTGAATCTATCATTAACATTTGAGCCTGGGATCTCTCTCTCATTAATAATAATTACTCTACATTAAATACCAATTACTCTGTAGCAAACAGTTCAAAATCTACTCATAGAAATTGAAATGAGAAGTCAGACAAAATTACAGGCTCTTATGCAGTCTACAAAATACTTATTACGTGTCAAAAAATGCTTAAAATCTTAATTCTGACAACACTATGGGAAAGCATCAAAATCTGTCATAAAAACACTGAAAGCTATGGTCAAAATAATAACAGTGAGCAAGGAAGAAAGTGTGCATGTCAAAAGAAAATGGGACAACAGCCACAAATACCAAGGATTGATACAAAACATCAACATTAAAATAAAGTTCATAACCAAAAACAAGACAGGCAGTATAATACTGTGGTAAATAAGGAGAAATGTGTAGTTCACTCTGAAAGTGAATTAAACATGTGGAAATCATCAATCAGCTCGAACTAGCAGCAACCTTAGACCAGCCAACAAAACTACGACACTTTTATTGATACAGAAACCTTTCAAAAAAGGGAATCAAGTAAAACTGCAATACCTTCTACAGCCTTCCAGAGGGATTTTCAAAAATTTCCCTTTCAACCCAATATGATGGCAATCTACAATTATTACAGCAATTTAGTAATGAACTATTTATTATCATATTACAGTAATGTATACAGCATACACTTTGACTGCTGCTAATCATATTAGAAATTCAAACACTTTCCTACAGTCACACTTGCCTATTCCTGTTGAGTGCCTTCTTATGATATACCTCCCTGAGGAAGATTCTGGCACTTCCAGGTGAGTGCCATAATTAGGCCCCATTGGAGGGTGAAGTAGGTGAGATGGAGAAGGAGTGCTGAGTGAGCGCATCCTCGCCATTTCTGGCTCCGAGGAGTGTGGCACAGGACCCGTATACGATCGTTTTAACCCGCTCGACAGGAGATCCATAAAACCTTGAGCATACGAGTTCCATTCAGATATCTATACTTCTTCAATTCAACCTCTAGTATAAAAAAGGACAACCCTCAATCAATACCATCAATAAAAAAGAAAAAAAAATCCTCTTTTAAAATGCTTTGTAAGTTTGCTGATGATTGGGAGAAGCAACCAAAGTTCATTTGTGTCTTCTTCAGGTCAGAGTTTGGGAAAGTACACTGCAATTCTTGTGTTTGAGAGAACATTAGTTTGCAGTGTGCACCATCATTCCATATCAAAGGAAGTGTATCTGTTGTTTATAAAATTAATAAAAGCAAAGACAAGTGAGAGCAATCTCTGTCTTAAAGAGAAGTCCTGTCTACACTTTTGCTAAAGCTTCCATTTTCATGGAACTCCTTCATAAATTCTGAGGAAGACTTTACAGCCACTTACCGACCTAACACAGTAGTTTAAGATACTCAACTCTACTACAACATACAGTAGACATAGTGTATCACAAAATTGAGAAAAAAATGGAAAATGGAAGACAAATTAATAAAATGTGTTTTGTCATGCTACTTGTAAACATGCCCTATTCCGAACTCATGCAAAAGCTACCATAATCGCACAATCCACAATATTCAAAATAGTATCATTATGTAAAATTAAAATTCATCTTTGGAGGCAAAAAATTAACAGTGAATGTAAGACTGAGAATATAGTCCCAAGAAATTAGTGTTAAATATAACTTGCAAAATCTGTGCTAGTTAACAGGCACTAAAAATAATAAGACTATATATGTGAACTTGCATCAGTTGCTCAATAAAGCCACATACCCATCTAAAACCAAATTAATAAGTTAAGGAAAATGAAACCAATTCAGAACCAATGTCCATGTGACTGTCTTCTCAAGAATATATATCATATAAAGATAGCATACCAGCAACCCATAGAACAGAATAGATTTCAATTTACTTTTACTCCACCCTGAAAAAAGCTGAAAGAAGGCTATATAAGATGCACTAACTCATCTTTTAGTGTTCAATTTCACTAGTATATTGGAAACATAACATGATGTTAGTGTAATTTTGTTAACTCATCACTTAATGATTTCCTTCTGCAGTAATTCATAAGAGATTACAACTGCATAAGATAAAATTTCATGCAAGCCTGTGCACTTCTTTGTAAGTTCTAATTTTGTCTGTATATATGTCATTCTGTGTTGGAAAAAAATCAACTTTCCTTTTCCCTATACAATTTCAATAAAAAATATTTATGATCTGCATTCAGAAGAATTTTTTAAAAAGGAAAAAAAAAATCTAAAATCCATCCATAAACAAGACAATTAATTTC